CCCAGCCCCATTTGGAGTTGGATCCAAGTGGAGGGGGAAAACCCCAAATCCAGGATTTCGCAGCCCTGTTTGGGGTCAGTTCCAAGCGGAGCAGGAAAAACCCCAAACCCAGGATTTCCCGGCCCTGTTTGGGGTCGGCTCCAAGCGGGGCCTCCCCAAAACCCCAAACCCAGAATTTCCCAGCTCCATTTGGGGTTGGTTCCCAGAGAAGCAGGAAAACCCCAAACCCAGGATTTCCTGGCCCTGTTTGGGGTCAGCTCCAAGTAGAGCATGAAAAACCCCAAAACCAGAATTTCCCAGCCCCATTTAGGGTCAGTTCCAAGCGGAGGAGGAAAATCATGGAGGTCATGAAAAAACCCCAAACCCAGGATTTCCTGGCCCCGTTTGGGGTCATGAAAAACCCCAAAACCAGGATTTCCCAGCTCCATTTGGGGTCGGTTCCCAGAGAAGCAGGAAAACCCCAAACCCAGGATTTCCTGGCCCCATTTGGGGTTGGCTCCAAGCGGAGCCTCCCCAAAACCCCAAACCCAGGATTTCCCAGCTCCATTTGGGGTCGGTTCCCAGAGAAGCAGGAAAAACCCCAAACCCAGGATTTCCTGGCCCTGTTTGGGGTCATGAAAAACCCCAAACCAGGATTTCCTGGCCCTGTTTGGGATCGGCTCCCAGCGGAGTCTCCCCAAAACCCCAAACCCAGGAATTCCCAGCCCCATTTGGAGTTGGTTCCAAGCAGAGGAGGAAAACCCCAAACCATGATTTTCTGGCCCTGTTTGGGGTCAGCTCCAAGCAGAGCATGAAAAACCCCAAACCCAGGATTTCCTGGCCCCGTTTGGGATCGGCTCCCAGTGGAGCAGGAAAACCCCAAACCCAGGATTTTCTGGCCCTGTTTGGGGTCAGCTATGAACGGAGCAGGGAAAACCCCAAACCCAGGATTTTCCAGCCCTGTTTGGGATCGGCTCCCAGCGGAGTCTCCCCAAAACCCCAAACCCAGGATTTCCTGGCCCGTTTGGGGTCGGCTCCCAGCG